CATGTTTCATGGTGTTCATTATTCCGCCCGCTCCTCTCTCCAGCTTCGTGCTTTTTCCGATGCTGATTGGGCTGGAGGGCGGAATAATGAAGACCATGAAACATGGTACCTTTGAGATATTGAAGGATACGAATTAAGGCAGCATAATGAGGGGTGCGAGGAGCCGACATAAACTGGCTGACAATATGAACGGCATAGGCAATATCAGGACGAATAACAGTGAGATAGACAAGACTGCCAATCAGCTGACGATATAGGGTAGCATCAGAGAGAAGAGTGCCATCAAGAGGTGTAAGACGACTCTGAGGTTCGAGGGGAGTGGAGGCAGACCAGCACGGGTGAGAAGATCAGAGGTATACTTAGCTTGAGAGAGAAAAGAACCCGTAGAATCATGAAAGATTTCAAGACCTAAGAAATAGCTGAGAGGACCAAGGTCTTTCATCTCGAAATGATGGCTAAGAAACTGTTTAAGGTGAAGAATACCATCGATATCATCACCGGTGATAACCATGTCATCTACATAAAGCAAAAGCAAGGTGGTCCCTTGAGCGGTTTTCCGGATAAAAAGAGCAGTATCATAAGAGCTGGAGGTGAAACCACATTCATGAATAGTAGAGCTGAACTTGGCAAACCAAGCGCGGGGAGCTTGTTTGAGACCGTATAAGGCACGCTGAAGTTTGCAGACTTTATGAGGTGGATAAGTAGACCCAGGGGGAGGTTGCATGTAGACCTCCTCAAGAAGAACACCATTAAGAAAAGCATTGGTGACGTCCAGTTGATAAAGATCCCATTGTCGGGAGGTAGCAACAGCAATCAAGCTGCGAACAGAGGTGAGACGAGCAACAGGAGCAAAGGTCTCTTCCTAGTCAATACCATATTCTTGGTTAAAGCCTTTGGCAACAAGGCGAGCTTTGTAGCGCTCAATAGATCCATCAGAACAAGTTTTGATTTTGTATACCCATTTGCAGCCACTGGCAGACTTGCCAGGAGGAAGATCAACAATGTCCCAAGTATGAGTTTTGGCTAAAGCCTGCAATTCAGTAGTCATAGCTTGCTGTCAAAGAGGATTAGAGCGAGCCTCACGATAGGAGGTCGGTTCATAAGTAGAAAAAGTAGTAGAACCAACAATAAAGTCACGATGATGAGTAGAAGGTTGGGTTACCCGGCGTAATCTAGCAGAGGGAGGAGGAGCCAGAGGAAGAGACTCAGCAGGAGGGGAGGAGCTCGAGGGAGCAAGAGCAGGACCGTCAGAGGGAGCAGGGGCATAGAACAGACCAGGAGGCAAAGCGATCTCGAGAGAAGCTAGCAGGGGCGGTAGAGGAAGCGGATCAGAAAACTCGAGAGAGGCTAGCAGCGGTGGTGGAGTAAGATCATCAGAAAACAGATCGGTAGAGGGATCAGTAAAAAACAGAGAGGGTGAAGGAACGGACAAACAGAAGAGAGAGAGAGAGGAAAACATTTTGTGTTCCCAAAAAACCACATGACGAGAGATACGAAGTCGTTGGGAGAGAGGATCCCAACAACGATACCCTTTATGTTCAATACCATAGCCCAAGAAGCAACAAAGGCGGGAACGAGGTTCAAGTTTGGTACGTTCATGAGGTTGGAGAAGAACAAAACAGGCAGAGCCAAAGACCCGAAGGGTGGTGTAAGGAGGACGGGTGCCGTGCAGACGCTCATAAGGAGTGTGATTATGAATGACAGGTGTAGGGATACAATTGATAGTGTAAGCAGCAGTGAGAGATGCCTCTCCCCAAAAATGTTCCGGACAAGAGGAAGACAGAAGGAGAGCTCGAGTAGTGTCGAGAATATGTCGATGTTTCCGTTCAGCATGTCCATTTTGTTGAGATGTACCGGGACAGGAATGATGAGGTTGAGTACCATGACTCTGAAGAAAGGAAAGAAAGTCAAAATTTTTATATTCCATGGCATTGTCGGAGCGAAAAAGCTTAATATTTTTAGAAAATTGTGTTTTAACCATTGCAGCAAAATTGTAATAAAGTTGTTTGAGCTCAGAGCGAGTTTTCATAAGGAACAACCATGTAAAACATTGGTGAATTCATCTTCCTACATAGTTTAACTTCATGAATTGTAGATTAGAATCATACATAGAGCTTGAATTTAGCCTCAATTAAGCTTAATCTTTACAACCTCCCTTGGTTTCTCTTGAATTCTTCTTCTTCTCTCTCTAAAGTGTTGAATTCTCTCTCTAGCTCTCAAATTTTTAGCAGAAAGTTGATGTAAAATGAAGTCTAAGCATGTTTAACAAATATATATATGGTGATTAAGGCCTCACTAATCACTTATGCTTAAGGCTAATCAAGTGGGCTTAAATCTAATTAATTATGATTATTTTAATTATTTTGATTCGAATCAAATTTTAATCAAACTTACCATATGATTCTAAAAATTTCAACTAGCTTATTGAATTAACCAATTTTGGTTTTTGAAGTTGCTTGGGCTTTTTAATTTCGAATTCTAAGTCGACAATTAAACAGAAAATTCACATAGAAACAAATAACTTTCTAATAAACAAAAAATTATACATTTTATGCGCAATCAAATACTAGATAAAAATAATATAGAGGTCAGGGTCGTTACAGTCTTCCATCCTTAAGTAGTAAGTTACCTCCTTTTGGAAATAGATACGGGTACCGTTGTTGCATTTCTTCTTCTTTTTTCCGCGTAGCCTCTTTCCCATAGTGTTTCTTCCATTATACTTTCACCATTAGGATAGATTTGTTCCTTAGTTGCTTCACTTGCCGATCAAGGATCCGTACTAGCCATTCCTCGTATCTCATATCATCCTCTAAAGCTATTCAGTGGTAGTCAATTACATAAAATGGATTTCTAAGATACCTGCGAAGCATTGATACATGGAATCATTTGGTGCAGGTGGGAATGCTCATCCTGTCAACAGCTCACATGGGTTGTTTGAGAGTGATCATTAGTACTCATGGGATGAGGAGGAAGATATTGATTTGAATCGTGATGCCAATGTATTGGCTTATGGTAATTTTGATGACAATTTCATCTCTCGCTTTACATGTTATCGGAGTAGACTCTTGTCGAGGAGGTTGAGGCGGAGAAGGCAGAAGCGTAGAGCAGTTAACAGAGTTAGATAGTTTACAAATGGGTAGTACTCAGATTGCAATCGAACCATGTCACTTGCAGTCCAAGCGGCGGCATTCTAATGGGGATCTCTGCTTAGCGGTGTCGATAGTTAGTATCGGTGAAGCAGATCTGAAGGTTTGGTCACTCCTTGTAGGATTGTGAATTATCTTAGTTTTAGTGTCAGTTATATATGGTTGTTTTCATAGATTAGGTCTCATTTTAATTTTTGTGCATAGTGGCTAATCATTCAAAACAAATAGACAGAATGATAGAAGGAGTCCTTTTAATATCTGTCTTTGAACATGTCTTTGCTTTGCTTCATAATCTATGTATTATGCTTGTCCTGACGATTTCTTCAAAATTTTAAGTTCTTTCTAGTTTTAGAAATTCTTTGTTAGCCTCTACAATAACACCACCACACAACTCAAAAGGGTTGGCCTAGTGAGTGTAGGTTGGGGCCTGGGGTGTGTTCCTTTCATGTCTTTAGTTTCAATTCTCATTAAGTGCTATCAATTCTTTAGAACTATGCCCATGGATTTTGCACGAGATTTGCCCTATCTCTATGGAGGGATTGTTTTGTGTGAGTCTTGAGATTAGTCGAGATGCAGAAGTTGGCTTGGACACCCTGCCATAAAAAATAAAATAACAACACTGCTCAAACACACACACAAAATAATAAATAAATAAATAAAAAGAAGAAAAACCCACTTCAACGAAACCACAAATACTAAAATATGGAGAAATTTGATTCACTAGTCACTACCCTATTGTCATATTTGATTTAGTATGATTTAGTTTTCAGGATTTGTTTTTGAGAAATTTTCAAAAACTAGTTTGGTAAATTAAAAATGAAATCTCATTATTTTTGTATGATTTTTCTCATTTTCTTTGGACAAATAATTTTAAAAATTTTAAAATATTTTTTTAACATTTATTTTTGTTATATTAACTTGTAATTTTTAAAAGAATTTTTAAAAATGAAATTTGAAAATTTTAAATAAACATAAGGATTTTAGCTCAATAAAGGATTTGGTCAGAATGCAAGGCCCAACAACATGTTTTTTGGGTGAATAAGCACAACATGTTCATAAGTCGGTACTCATTTTTTTGTTATTATTATTTTGAATGTCCTCGTGCAAAATTACCATTGAATTTTCGAGTAAAACATTATTGGTTACTTTTAGTAATTGATTTAATAAGTAGAAAGTCTATGATCCAAATTTTGGATCTCAGATTTTGTCAAGAATAGATTGTGTGGTGGAAATTGAAATTGTATATTGTGAGCTCTATCTATAGAATGAATCTGAATCAAGTGCTTAGAGAAAATACAAATTCAAATAATGTGAGAGAAAAAGGATCTTTGTGAGAGAGGAACCACGGATAAAAGGAAAAAAACATATTGAAAAACATACAACACAATTAAAAGGAATAATGCAAGAACCTACAAAGCATAAGCAAGACTAGAATTATAGTTTTTTATTTGAAGGGGACACAACAGAAAGTATCTAAAAAGATAACTTCAATTTCAACAATAAATGACACATCAAACACAAAAGCAGTACTATTGTAACACAATTGAAGATTTTGGACTGCATGACTGATTTGATCCAGTAGTAGAGTGGAATAACTCAGTTGAGAGAGTTGAGAGCACTAGGATTTATAGTAGCAAAGTCTAGCAAGTCCTTGTTACATTCAAAAAATGCCATGTCTTCTTCAATCAAGGTAACCCATGCTTCAATTCCCTCACCATCTCTTGAAGGACTCAACACAACAACATTAGGAACTTCTGTATGACCAACCGTCGCCCAAGTTGGCTTTCCCCACCCAAAATCAGCTTCATACAATGGCATCCTACTCCAACTTGTATCATTGTATGTGTATACATTTCAACTTCCACCTCCTCTCATCTGCAACTTTCTCAACTCTGCCAACGACCCACAAATATTCGACACTCCACAATTTTTGCTTAGTTCTAGCTTACTTTCCCTTATGCTACTTACCAAGTTTGACAAGTTCATTTCGTTTTCACTCTCATCATCGGCGTGCACTACTAGCGGGCGTCCTATGTTTCCGGATGAACTCTCTGGTAATGGCAGCACAAGACATGCTCGTATGTTTGCTGATATGACTAATATAGATGGCCTCCTTGGATTGGTCGATCCCAATCCCAATCTTGATCTAAAAGCATCCATTGCGCATTTCCAAAGGAGTGCCATGATAGCCTCCATGCGGGTAGGTTGTTGTACCCTCACATTGGCTGTTTCTGCCTTGAAAGCGTGAAGTTTGGAGGCGTTGAACACGTACCTGTTGGGAAAATAAACTTGTTTTTAGTAATTTGGGAGTGATGTTTACCCAAAAAGTTACTCAAAATTTGCTATCAAATGCCAAGATTGATTGATAGTTTGGTTCCTAGTGGTATGTTCGTAAATAGTATTTTGTTATCATTTTAGTGGTTACAAAATAGTGGGTTTTAGTATATAAAATGCCTGAAAATTAGAATGTCAAAATTGTTTTAAAACTTCATATATATAGCTGCTATGTAAGAATGAGAATGAATGAATACAAGTGAAAAGAATATATTCTTTATTCTCCAAATCTCTCTTTCAAATTATTTCGAGTATAGGCATTTTATTTTCAAAACAGTACCTCCTGACAACACCCTTCTGTGGTGGTTTCACATAAACATGTATGGAGGGGTCTGGAAGTCATCTCCTGCGGGGAATATAGAGGGTGTAGTGAAATCTGGACTCACTGCGTCAGGGAATCCGGACGCAGTGGTAGCCCAGGCCTTGAGGAATGTGGTGAAGGAGGTCGCATCGGCAAGTTTGTGGTTAGTATAGATGCCTATAGCCATTCCTCCATATTCAAAGAAGCTAGCCTGGATGAGTAAGAGAGATCCGGACCCCGATTCCTTAAATTTGATTGGAATGAAATGGTTTTGTAATTCACTTTTGGGTTGCTTAAGAATGGCGGAAATTGGACAGTAGACTCGAGTTTCAATGTAATCAACGCCGTCGTCGTTGCAATCAACAAAGAGAGGATCTTTGATTCTTCCAGCTAGAGGGTAGTAGCGAGTTAGGATTTGAGAGAGGGAGTTTTTTAAAAGTTGGGATCTTTCTTCGCAACTAGAACCGCCAGGTGTGGCGTAGTAGAGAACTAGTGGCGTGTATGATGCAGGCATGAATTGGTCGATAAGAGAGAGTTTGAAAGTATTAAGGTGATGGGGGGTCGGAGAAGATGGCTTTATGGTTTCTCTAGCGATTACCTCGACCTTAATCTCCATCATCGTCGTTGTTGTCATCGGTCGTTCTGTCATGGTTTGTTGCTATACCCATGTACTATAATGAGTGAAAACTTGGTTTGTTTATCAATTGAAGTTTGCATAGTTCCTAGATGTTGACTCTGAATTATTAATAAATATAAGGAGATGAAAATGAAAGTTGTTGAAATTTGAATAAGTTCTTTTTTCTTCTTTCCTTTTTTTTTTTTGATCGGCACAAATAAAATCTTTATTGATGAAACATACAGAGTATGAAATATTATATCAATAAAGAGGAGCTTGGAGCTAAGAAAAAGCTCCAAGCGCCAGTTGGTGAGGAACCAACAAAAGAGAGCCAAATAAAAGACAAATAGATAAATGAACTAGTCTATAACTTGGAGCTAAGAAAAAAAACTGATAGATAAACTGGTAGGAGCAAAAACAGATAGTAAGACTGATAAGCACTAACTTTCTCCCACTTTGACAAGCTTTGCTTACATTAAACAACTGAAACAATGGGGCCACAGCAGAAGTCGTCCACCGTAACAGAGATAGCCTTCTCGAACCATTCAGCCCAATTCAGAACAGCACCCACTAACTACCAGAGCAATACAATACCGCAGAACAATACAGCAGCCAAAGTACCAGAATCAATACAACAGCAACCACCAATACATCAACATACACCAATACAGCAGAGCAATACAACAGCCACAACACCAGAATCAATACAGCAAAATCACTATGTAAGTGTAGCAGACCCTCCCAAGCACTTCCTGATTTGCCTCAGATTAAACACAAAATCCTGAACTGAAAAGTTAAAGTCACAGAAAATAGGTTTCAACCAAAAAGCAATCCTATATTTAATTAAGTCACATAGATCCACCAGATTTGGGGGAGTTGCTCTAAACACACACTCATTTCTGCACTTCCATACAGACCACATCACAGCCAATGGAATCACCCTCCAAATCTTCCTTTCTTTCTTCTTTAACTTCCCCCCCTGCCCACCACAGCAATAGACTCTCCACAGATCCTGGAATAGCAGCCTGGACATCCCACCAATCTAGCATTGCAGTCCAAACTGTTCACACAAAGGGACACCAAATTAATACATGATTCACTGATTCACTGCCACTGCCACTGCCACAAAACACACAAGTTATGAAAGCACTTGGGTTGATCACCAACCAAAGACCTGCACCTTAGGAGGGATGTACTTAAGCCAAATCAATTTGGTAATACTCATGGTGGCACCTGTATTATCCACACCCCACTTATATAAATCTGCTACTGTTAGTACCCCAGCAGATGATGCTAACCAAGTAGGCCGATCAACACACCCTGGACACACTGCAGGAGCCCCCAACAGATAATCAAGAAGTCTAGCCAGCTCCTGCTCCTCCCACTCATATAACCCCCTTCTAAATTCAAAGTACCAGCCACCCGCTAAACTTTTCTTATCAGCCAAAATTCTTAAAGATTCCTTTTTATCCAAAGACAACCTATACAAGATTGTAAATTCATCCTTCAAACAAGTAGACTGACACCAATTATCAGACCAAAATCTAATCCTCCTCCCATCCCCAACCTTCAACCTAAAATTATTCAAGTAAAACTCTTTAAGGCTACTACACTATTCAGCTACAGAAATAATCCCTTTCCATACTACTGAGTGGCTGCTAGATGAACTTAGTGTTGGAATCCAACCATCAACCTCCATCTTATATCTGCTACAAATTACTCTCTTCCATAAAGCATCCTTTTCACAACCAAACCTCCACCACCATTTAATTAACAAACACTTGTTCACATCCCTTATTTTCCTGATACCCAAACCACCTTTCTCCACTGTTTTAGACAAGTCCTCCCACTTGATCATATGAATTTTCTTTACCAGTTCAGACCCACCCCATAAGAATGTAGCTTGAATCTTCTCCAACTCTCTAGCTACCCCTTCAGGCATCTTAAACAAAGATAAGTAGTACACTGGCAATGCTGAAGTTACCAAATTGACAAGTGTTAACCTCCCTGCAAAGGACAACAACTTCCTCTTCCAACCAGCTAGTTTGCTTTTAACTTTATCCACAGCTCGTTTCCATGTAGCTTTCTTCCTTGGATTAGCTCCTAATGGCATCCCAAGATACTTTAGAGGTAATGACTTAGTTTTGCAGTTCAACACTGCAGCATAACCATTTAACATCTCCTTAGAAACACCCACACCGCATACAACACTCTTATGGAAGTTTATCTTCAGACCCGACATAATTTCAAAGCACCTTAGCACCCTTTTCAACTTCCTCACTTCATCCACCTCGGCTTCAAAAAATAATAATGAATCGTCTGCAAACTGGAGATGAGTTAACAGCACACCATCATGGCCTACTGTAGACGTCCCCGAACGCATCTGGGAGGGTTAGCTCCCGTTCCGTTCGTTTGGGGTCACTACAGCTCGGACTCTCAAATTTTGTCACGGTTCTAAGTCTGAACCAAAGAGTCCAAATCCGGCAAATCGTTTTTGAGAAAAACTGATTTTTGAAAGAAGTGCCAAACATGGACTGCTTTGCCAGATACAGAGTCGCCACCTAAATATTTTGTTTTGGGAAATTTAGGAAACCCTGACTCGGTGCCAAAAGGCCACGTGTCCGTCATCACCAAAGTTGCCTCGGCTCGGGAACTTGGGTACGATTGGGGAAGGTCACTTCGTGAGCACCCCCGCTCGCCCGGTCATAGACCGGCCTCTACTAACCATGATATCAATTTTTGAAAACATTGTGAGTTCTTATTCCAGTTTATTAGCCTAGGTTACTATGTGATGCGCACAGCATATAAGTATAGACCGGGTCGCCCAAATTGGAACAAAACACTTCATGTTTTTTTTTTTGAAAGAGGTTTTGCTACCCTCAGGTAGGCTTGAAACATTTGATGATTTACTCCAATTTAGATAACCCAACCTTCACCCACAGGCATTCAGGCAGATATATCATATAAGCACATAGCCTCATGGTAAGCATGCTATCATGGCAGTCACTCACACGCATGCAAGGATGCTAAAGCATAGAACTTACCTAGTACTCCAAGCCAAAATAAAAAAACTACATTAGAAATCATGCATGATCCTAAGTATACAGAAATGCCTAATGCAACACATGCAAAATGTAGCTATGGCAGGCTCGGCTATTCTAAACATGGCATATGGAATGCTACAGCTAACATGTATTCAATTTGGAATTGAAATACAAATGCAGTTAGTATGATGTGCCGAGCCCAGTGCATGCAAAACAGATGGATGAATGCAAACATGCTGTCATACTGTATGCTAATTGAAATATGCCCTAATCTAACCATCATAAGCAGGTAAATAAAAGGGAAAAAGACGTGGGGTTGGAAGACATACATCACACTCACCCACACTTATTACAGTTGTGCCCTCGCGCAGAGGGTCCGAATAAAAATACAGTCCGAATATTACAGTCCCGAATAAAAGAATATTACAGTCCCGAAATATACAAATTCCTAATTAATTAATGAATTAACTAAGAAAGCAAGTAAAACTGGCATGCAAGCCAGGGACTGCCTTGCTTCTGATGGATGATGCATGTCCGGGTTGTCTTGCGCGGAAATCCACCGGGATGCCCCGATTAGCCTCTGTTTAGCAGTTATTCTTGAAATGCGTGCCAAGTCCCGAAAAATTGCTGATTCTTCATTTTGCTGCAACAGAGAGCAGGAAAGGGGCATAGCAATGTATTTGCACAGATATATGCATGTCTCGATCCTCGTGCCACCAATCACGCATTCCGAGGCATGATGGCCGAGGAGTCGAAATGCACAACTCAATATAGAATGAATGCACATGAAACTATAGCTAAAACCTAACTCCATCATGGATAATCCGGAGTGTCGGTGACTGGGGAATTGAGACGCATTTCGTCACTCGGAGTACGAAATGCACCTCGTTTCCCGTGCCCGGGCTAACTCCTATCCCGAACACGATGCAATATGCATGACATGCATGAAATGCAACTAAGATACAATCCTAACATACAGAATGCTATGGAATGACATGCCTCGAAATGCGTGCATGCGGGCACGCAAACCGAGAAAATAACAGAATGCGATCTAAGATACAACCTAGTATGCACTATGCTATAAAAATGAGATGCCTCGAAATGCGTGCACACGGGCACGCAAACCGAGGTAATGACAGAATACAATGCAAGTGACTAAAATGGCATATAGAATGCAACGTGGACTTACACTAACATGAGAGAGCCTCAGCCACACTCACATAAGAAGTCGATTGATGAAAATAAAGTGCCTCGAAATGCGTGCACACGGGCACGCAGACCGAGGCGATGGCAGAATGTGATGCAAATGACATGGAAACATGATATGGGCTTATACCAACATGAGTGAGCCTCAGCCACACTCACATAGGATGCCGGCGGATGAAAACGAAGTGCCTCGAAATGCGTGCACTCGGGCACGCAAACCGAGGTGGTGACATACGCAATGCAAATGACATGAAAATATGATATGGGCTTATACCAACATGAGTGAGCCTCAGCCACACTCACATAGGATGTCGGCGGATGAAAACGAAGTGCCTCGAAATGCGTGCACTCGGGCACGCAAACCGAGGCGATGACAGAATGCGATGCAAATGACATGGAATGAAAAGCAATCATTCTAATAGAATTTCAGCAAGAAAATATGGGGGAAAACAGTCCCGAAATGAGGCGAAATGACACCAAATGTATGAAATAGTCCCGAAATGCGAATTTAGGCATCCGAAATGGCCTATAGCTATGCTAAACATGCACAACATGGACATGCAATGCAAAGACAGAAGCTAGAAAGTCCCAAAATAAGCACTTTTCCAGTTTATAGTATGGCCAAACAGCAAGTATAGATATGGCAAAAATGGCATGCAAGAATAGGGGCCAAGAGATGGATAATGAAGCAAGTGATATAAACAAAATCCAAACTGAAAAATTTCCTTCTACAACATTGAAGAGGGACCAAAAATATGA